TTCGGTTTTTCTAAAATCTGGTTCGGTTTAAAAAATTCATAAACCGATTAATCGATTCGGTTTTTGGTTTACAAGTATTTTTAAACTGGTTAACCGAAACCGAACTATAAAACTGGTTTCAAAAATAAATAATACATATTATTATAATTAAGCCACCGCCACTTTTCTCTTTCATCTATCTTTTCCATCATTTTCAATCTTCTCCTCAATTTTCTCTTTCATCTTTCTCCGTCACTTCTCTCTTTCAACTTCCTTTTTCATCATATCTTCTCCTTTACTTTTCTCTTTCATCTTCATCTTCTTCTTCTCCCTTTCTTCTTTTCACTTTTCACCTTTTTTTCGTCTTCTTTTCCATCTCTTCTCCTTCAGTTTTCTCAGTCTCATTCTCTCTTAGTCTCTGTCTCTCACTCTCACTCTCGCGCTCTGTCTCATTCTCTGTCTCTCACTCTCTGTCAGACTCTCATTGTCTCTCCGTTTTCAGATCTGCGTTCTCACGTCATCGTAGCTCAGCTGCAGTCGTCGTTGTCGCAGTCGCCGTCGTCGTCTGTTGTTGGTGGGTTTTCAGATCTGTGTTGTCACGTTTTCAGATCTGGGGTTTGACATTGAAGATTTTGGTTTTAATTCTTGTATATGTACTAATGGTGATGGTTGTGTATTTGTTAGTTAGAACTTAGAATGAATGATTTAGAACTACAAGTTTTTTGTGTTACTTCATCAATAAATGAATAATGATTTTGGAGTTGAGAATCAATTGTTATTTGGTTAGAAATGACTCAGTTGTTTGATTTTGGATCTTGGTGTTTCAACGTCATTAAACCTGGAAAAAAAAAATAAAAAGGACTGAATTGGGCCAAAAAATGCAGCCCATAATGGTGACCGAATTGGGCCGAAAAAGGCAGCCCATCATAAATTTTAATTAACCGGTTTATAAACCGGTTAACCGATTAACCGAACCGAATTTTCGGTTCGATTTATAACCGGTTTATGACCGGTTCAAACAACAGGTTAACCGGTCTGGTTAACCGGATTTTTCCACCCCTACTAGTAATCCAAGCTAAAGAATCTCTAAGACCATCTCCAAACCATTGCACCAAATTACTTGCATCAAATTGGTGCAAATTTTGGTGTAAAACACTATTCTATCTCCAACCCACTACACCAAATATTACACAAAAAAGAATATTCCTTAGAATATTCTTTTTCTTTTTCTTTTATTGTAATAATCAACAATTAATCTATTTCACTCATTATTTTTGTATATATTAATTAAATATTGGGAATGATATTTTTATTAAATAATAATTGTTTTGAAAATTATACTAATTTAATCAAATTAAGTATTTATTTAATCAAATAAACATTACATTTAATATAGAAAAACATTAAAATTCCATATTGATAGTAATTTAATTTTCCGAATTAGTATTTCTTCCCACAATGATCAATTAATGCATTTCGAAGAGTATGGTGAGCCTCTGTATCCTTGATTTGTTTATGTCGAGCAAGAAAATTTCGAAATCGGATATTTTCATCTACGACAATTTCAACTTCGGGAGTTGGCGCTTCCATCTGATTCTCAATCGATGCATCAACATTACGATCATCCTCGATTATCATGTTGTGCATAATAATATACGCAGTCATTATATCATGTAATACATTTTTATCCCAAAAACGAGTCGGTCCTGCCACAATTGCAAATCACGATTGGAGAACTCCAAACGCACGTTCCATATCTTTCTACATCCTTCTTGTTTCATTGCAAATAATTTTTTTTAGGACCATGTGGATTGTGAATAGTTTGTACGAGAGTAGACCACTTTGGGTATATACCATCAGCTAAATAATAACCCATATTATAATCTTTTCCTTGAATGCTATAATGAGCAGGAGGAGCAATACCTTGAGTTAGGTTGGCAAACAAATGAGATGCCTCCAACACATTAATGTCATTGTTGGAACCTGGCAAACCAAAAAATGCATTCCATATCCAAAGATCATAATCAGCTACAGCCTCGAGAATAATAGTTGGGGATCCACTACGACTAGCATATTGTCCTGCCCAAGCTGTTGGGCAATTTTTCCACTTCCAGTGCATACAATCTAAAAAACCCAACATTCTTGGAAAACCACGTTGTTCACCAATATGAAGTAGCCTTGCAACATCATTAGCATTAGGTGATCTTAGATATCGTTTTACAAATACCTCAACAACAATAGGACAAAATCTCTTCAAACTTTCAATGGTTGTAGACTCGCCTATTTTAATATTCTCATCAGTAGCATCTGTCGGTAGACCATACACCAACATCCGTAATACTGCTATTATTTTTTGAAAAGTAGACAATCCGAGCCTACCGAGCCCATCCCTTCGTTGTACAAAGTAGTTATCATGACCTTTCACGTGATCAACAATATGAATGAATAAATTGCGAGACATTCGAAATTGTCGGCAAAACATGGAATCATTAAACCGTGGATTCTCGGCAAAATAATCTTTGAATAGATTGCGATTAGCAGTTTCCCAATTGTAATTGATGACTCTATGACCAGGAATTGATCCTCTAGGATCACCTGGTTGTTCTGTTGATTGAGATAGTGAAGGAGGATAAGGTTGTTGTTAGCTCTCATGCAAAGGATTGCTTCTTGCTCTGCATCAATTGCTTCAAGATCATTCATCAATTCCTCATCATCAATTTCATTGTCGGAAAATGATGATGAATTAGAAGATGATAAATGAGATGGACCTCCAAAATTGAAATTCATCTTTGTAGATATATTAGTTGAATGATTTGGTGTGAGCTTTTATAGTTGAAGAAAACACTATTCTAGATAAAAAATAATAATTCAAAAAGATGTATTGTCCATTCAAGCTTTTGAGATTTGTGGCTTATTCAAAAAGATGTATTGTCCATTCAAGCTTTTGAGATTTGTGGCTTATTCAAAAAGATGTATTGTCCATTCAAGCTTTTTAGATTTGTGGCTAATTCAAAAAGATGTATTGTCTATTCAAGCTTTTTAAATTTATAGCTTATTTCAAAAGATATATTATTCATTCAAGCTCAAAAAGATGTGTTGTCCATTCAAGCTTTTTAGATTTAATGTTTTTAAATTAGTGTTAATTTTTATTTTGAGTTATTGTAATTTAATATTTGCATTGAATAAAGTTTTATTTTTAATTTTTCATCATTTTTTGAATTATATCATTATTATGAATTTATTATTATAAATAATAATCAAATTAAATTAAATACAAATAATCAAATTTGGTGTGATTTTTGGTGTAAAATTTAATACTCAAATTAACTTAACAAAATTAAAAAAAAAAAAAATTAATGGCACTATAGTGCCACGCCAAAATGGCGTGGCGTTTAGCGCTGGGTTGGAGATGCCTTAATTCTATCAATATTATTTTTAATTTTTTTCATACCACTTTTCACAATTAAATTAATAATGTGACATGTACAACGTTGGTGAAAAAATTTTAAATTGTCATAAAAAGGAAAATTTATTTTAAAAAAATCTATAGCTCTACTATTAGAACTTGCATTATCTAAAGTTAAACTTATCACTTTATGAACAACATCATAATCTTCTAAAACTTTAACAATTTTATTATAAATTTGTTGACTATTATGATCCACATCCATTAATCTAAATCCCAATAAAGATTTATTTAATTTACATTCGTTATCAAAATAATGACTAGTCATACAAATATAATCTTGTTTAGCTCTACTACTCCAAATATCGGCAGTTAGAGCCACACTAATATGACAATTACGTATTTTATTTTTTAATTCTAATTTCATTTTTCCAAACAATTTTATTAAATCATTTCTAGTTGCAGTTTTAAAATAACTTTTAAATCCTGGAAAAAATAAATTTTTAATAAATCTTTCAAAATATTTATCTTTAGCCATATTAATAGGTTGATCAGTTGTAGCAATATATAAAGCTAATTGTTCCCTATATATATCAGAATTATAACGTCAAGTAGTACCTATATTAGTTATTTGAGTTTGATTGGTTTATGTATTTCCATGTTGAGTAATATATTTATTAGTATGCCTTTTTAAAGTATTAGTATGATTACCTGCATCAGCTTTATAAATATTTTCACAATACTTGTATCTTACTTTCTTCATGTGAACTCAATTTTCTGTCTTGTAAAACTTATTGAAATGCATCAAAACGTCTAATGTGTGCTTATCGTCGAGTTCGACTGCAGTTGATGAACCTGCTTCTGCTTGAGATGGAGTTGGACGAGGACGACGGTTATGAGGACAACTTCTAGAACCATCAGGAGCTGTAGTAGCACGGGGAGGAAGGGAGGGAATATTATGAGGTGTATCAGATTCTGAGAATGGGAAAACAAGACTATTTGAATCTACTGAATTTACATTAGTAAATTCAGGGAGAATATGATAATTTCCTTTATCATCGAAATTGATGGGATGGAAATATCTATCCATTATAGTTAAAAAAAAAAAATTGGATATAGAAGAAATAAAAAATTAAAGAAGGAGAATTGGAATTTTGAAATATGAATTGAAAATTGCAAAAACTAATAAAAATTAAAATGAGAGCAAATTGACAATAAAGAGAATAATGGAGAGATTTCAAATTAGAAAATGAGAGAATTTAGGATGTGAGAAAATATGAGAGTTTAGGCCTTATTAATAGAAAAAAAAGGGAAAAGAAAATGACCAAAAAGACCATTCCAATTACTATAAAACGGCTATATTTTAAGGGTAAAAGAGGTATTTGAAAAAAAAATTAATTAATTAATTATTTTTTTAATTTTTTTGTCCTACCCGACGAATTGAATGGTTTTTAAAAAAAATAAAAAATATACAACCCGCCAGGCTGCCAGGTTGGTCTATGAAGACCCGCCCTGCCTGGTGGAGTATACGTGGGTCAGGTTGAGTTCGGCTTGATATGGACTGAGCTAGGGTTGACTCGCTTAACCCGACCAATTTGTTCCGCTTCTAATCGTAGGTTACTGCTAACAGTTGGGAAAGTGGACCGTTTATTTTATTTTTAGTTGTATTTGCAGTAATAGCTGCTGGTTACGTTCTCGTAAAGGTAATTAAATGCTTCTCTTGAGGTTATTATGGAAAATTATGCTTTGTTTAGTGTTGTTATGATGATGAAGACCATTGTCATGTAGGGGCTAGAGGATCCCACTAGGAGCAAGTATAAGCTTTTACTAAGCTGTTCGCTTATTATTACTTCTGTAATCCCTCCCGAGCTACCTATGGAATTATCAATAGCTGTTAATACATCACTGATTGCACTGGCACGTCGTGGAATATTTTGCACGGAACCTTTTCGAATTCCATTTGCTGGAAAGGTAAGTTGGATTAGGTTCAAGAAAGCTTTTATTTTTTGTGTTGAAGAATGTTTCTTTTGGATTTCAAGTCTTGTTACTAATGCTGCTTGGACAACTGCTGATTTTCTGATAATCTACGTTTGATGGCTTTATTGTCTTCCTTTCAGTTGTTATTGATGGGTCCTTTTAGAATTTCTGCTATTATCTTTTGCATGTTTCAAGATTTGCAACTGATTTGTAAAATAGAAAAAGACTATAAACTGTTTGTCTTAGCTCTTAGAATTGCTTCATAGCTGGTAGATAGAATAATAATTCAAAATGATTACTGAATAACATTGTTGGAAATATTTTACAAATGCAGATTAAGTGAAAATTCCCAAAGTACTTGTAGATACTGACTTTACAGATTATGTGAAACTACATACTGTAGGTTTTTAACTCTTTTGTCATCTAAGTTGAACATTTCAGATGATGTTATTCAATCACTGCCGTAACCCTTTGTCAAGCACGTATGCCTGCAGTCCTTGTACAACATCTTTTGTCGTAGATCTTTTCTTTTTGGTTTTTTGGTTAAGTTGTAGTCCATATCTCAGTTTACAATGACAATACTTTTTGTGCAGGAGTGTATCTATATGCTAATTTAGTTCTTTACTGTCTGTTGTTTTTCCCTTCACAGGTTGACATATGTTGTTTTGATAAAACTGGAACACTTACATAAGATGACATGGTATGCATATCAAGACCTGTAATTTATTCTCATTTATGTGTTAAAACTTGTTTTCTCATTATGATTTTTTTTTTTATATGCTCTTTCCAGGAGTTCTCTGGGGTTGGATTGCCTGGCAATACTGAGTTGGAAGCTGATATGACTAATGTTCCTGCCCGCACACTGGAGATTCTGGCTTCTTGTCATGCATTGGTGTTTGTTTACAACAAGCTGGTATACTAATTTTTTTTTTTTTTTATTTAGAAGCAAGAGAAGTTTTAGCCGTCAGTTATTCTTTGCTGTATATTTGTACATGCATATAGTATAAATTGTACAGGTTGCAGACATATACTTGAAATTTGGTATAAGTGCCTAATTAATTTTCTTGGATGGAACAATCTTGTGACTGTTTCTGCAATCAACTTTGAGGATCTGTCCTTTTTGAGAATTTTTATTAGAAAGAAAATGAGGGGAATTTGTAGCAGATGAGTCATCTGCAGTTTGTGGTGTTCTGGAGAGAAAGATCGACTTGAATTCTAGACTGTTGTCAAAGTCTTATTTAAGAATTGGATGCACTTTCCTATAGATGATAAGAAACAAGAATAATGAAACAGTGGATATTCAATTCTCTTTACCTGTGGGCTTGCATAGTACCATGTTAAAGAATTATTCGGGTTTGCCAAGTACAACCCACATTGTGATGAGGCCAGGATGATGCAGGTGTATGAAAGGAGAAATAAGGTAGCAAGTAGTGGATAGAGAGGAAGCTTACAGGAAGTTTCTAATAGTAGTAGTATTTTTAGAATGGTTTTAGGCTTGGACAGGTGTCGATATTTGGCTGGACAGCAGGGGAATTCGGTTACACAATTGAGAGCTGGAGAATAAAAGGAGAGAGAGAGCAGACTGGAAAAGGGAGAGGAAAAATATAGGAGGATTATAGGAGGAGCTAGCCCTCGAAGTCTAGCACAATTTTCTTGTTCTGAATCTTATTTTTCTTTGGCTGCTGTGTTAGCTCAATATTTTGATAATGTCTTTGCTGAATATTAATAGAGAAATCCATCAACTTTTCTTGCTCCTTTGCTGCTGTGTTGCTACTGTTTCATTGTTTTATTGAATATTAGAAGGTTGTTCTATCACATTGTTATCTTTTCTTCTTCTGCCTCTCCTTTTACTGCATACATACCATACGTCTGAGGTTTTTCTCCCTGAAAAAGTTCACTCTTGATTCTTAGTAAATTTATACGGATGCCTCGTGAAAATTGATAATGAAATTTTACAGTACAAAAAAAGAATTTTAAATGTTAGTTTCTACTTTTCTACTATTATTTTTGCTGCTTTGTTATTATCCTTGCTGCTTTGTGAAGTGTAATGATTATCCTTGCTGCTTTGTGAAGTGTAATGATTATCCTTGCTGCTTTGTGAAGTGTAATGATTATCCTTGCTACTTTGTGAAGTGTAATGATTTTATGGTATTTTGTATTTGAGCTCCCGTGACTGTATTACAATTCTGTTGAAATTCGCTTTATGCTGCTGCTTGTAGGATTCTTGCTGATTATTGTGTTAATCGGTCTAAAATTTGTTGCTTTAGCTGCCATTCATTCCGTCATATTCTTTGATTGCTTGTAGGTTGGTGATCCTCTTGAGAAGGCTGTGCTTAAAGGTATTGATTGGAGTTATAAATCAGATGAGAAGGCCATGCCAAAAAAGTAAGTTCGAGTGTTCATGGGACAGAGATATTAGTAGCCTAGATTGCTTTTTTAATTGATTTTAATAATATTCTGAACTTTGTACTAGTATTTTTATGGTTTAGAAGTATCTGTGGTTTAAACTTTTTTTTCTTTGAGAAATCCTACCACAAAAAACTTATTCTCTGGGAAGAGGTTCATCGCACACAGACATTCGCGTATAAACTCGTTTGATTTATGGTTTTCTGATTAATTTTGTTGACTTTTTTGAACTACTCTTAAAAGAGTATAGTTTTTCTTCCATTTTCAAAGCCTACCATTTTGAACTTCACCAACTTGGAAGTGATCAGCAAAAATGCTTTAGCCGCCAAAAGAGGAATTCCCCAAAAATTGGAAGTCACACTCGCTCAAAGTTGAAGCCCAAAATTGAAGTTTGTCTCTTAAAGAGGATAGCTATTCTTCCAAGTGATGGCAGAGATTCTCCTTGTTCATTTCTAACCAAACCACCAAAAACTAGCCATCACTGCACAATTCCACAGCCTTAAAGCTTTCTTCTCTCCCCTGAAGACTTTATGATTTTCAATTAGCAAGGTTTATACGAGAACTTTGAGCTTCCCAGCTTGACTCTAAAATTAGCTTGGAACAAAAATCAGTCCACTATCAGTTCCACGAAATTATTCTGGACAGATGCATCAGAGTTCAAATTTGTTTAACAGTTATATTGTTATTAATGCTTCTTTTGGTTTTTATATTTTCGTTGTTTATTGTTTTTCTTTAACGGCATTTTCTTTTTCCTCTTATTAGTTTATGGTTACTATGTAGTCATTTTGGTTGCCTTTTTCTCAATTGCAGGGGAGTCGGTCATACTGTCCAGATTGTTCACAGACACCATTTTGCATCCCGCTTAAAATGAATGGCAGTTGTTGTTCGCATTCAGGAGGAGTTTTTACTTTCGTGAAGGTCTGTAAGTTGCCTATTGCATCATCAAAGCCCAATACAAGTTCAACAATCTTTTTCTACTACAGAATGTTAATGATATGCTATCTATATGGATGTTAGATTCTGTAATTAGGATAGTAGTAAATTTATTTTCACTGTAATAATCGTTTGAACATGTCTCTCTCTCTCTCTCTTATAATTAGGATAGTAGTAAACTTATTTTCACTATAATAATCGTTTGAACATGTGTCTCTCTCTCTCTTAAAATTGTAGTTCTTTTGTTATGCAATTAACAACATAGGCAATGCAGTCAAAGATTTCAAAATTGTGTGAGGAAATTGTTATGAATCTCACAAGTCATAGTGGGTAATTTACTAGAAACACTGATAGAAATTGATATTAGCAGTGAAGTTGTATATAAAACTCAAATTTAAATTTTAGCGAGTAATAAACACTTTGGAAATTTATGATTAAGAACTATTGCATGAAGAAAAAGATGAGAGTTAACAGAGGAGCTAATTTTGGAAAGTTCTTATTGTGTCCAATTAGTTTATTGCGAGTTTCTAAAAAGTTCTTCAAATGATACCCCAATGAATCTCTAGGTCATCCTTGAATTTTATAAAATCAAACTTGTTACATTGCTTTTGGAAGATGATATGATTATTTAAGAGAGACATGAATTGGAAGAACTCACATAATTTAAATATGAGCAAAGCTGTCTACTATGTTGAAGTGTTTCTTTGACTGATAATCCTGCCATGTTTAGACACAGAATGATCTCTCCCTCTCCCTCTCTCTTTTTGTTATCTTTTGACTTATACACCATCTCAACTTGTAAAAATATGGAGATCAGTGAACACTCAATTGGTGAAATACTGGTCTCCTTTTTTCTGTTGTATAAATATATTCATTACTGTGCGTATCTATATGTTCTGTTGCTTTGCCACGTGTATTTTTGCTACTGAGAAATTACATTATAATACAGCTCAGGGTAGGGACTCATCAACTTGTCTTCATTAAATAATTCTTTTATGTCATTACAGGGTGCTCCTGAAACTATGCAGGGTAGACACAGATTTGCCACCATTGTATATTGAAACCTACGAGAAATATACACGTCAGGGGTCTCGTGTCCTGGCCCTTGCTTTTAAGTCCCTTCCAGACATGACAGTAAGTTTACTCTGGATGTAATTTTCCTTGATGAAATATATCTAGTCTCTCTAAAATTCTTGTACCTTTTATGAGCTTTTTGATTGGCAATTATAATTCATTTGCACATTTTATTGTACTTGTGAGCACTTAGATCTCCTTGATGACATACATCTAGTCTCTCTAAAATTCTTGTACCTTTAATGAGCATTTTGATTGGCAATTATAATTCATTTGCACATGTTGTTGGGAGAATAATCATATGGTTTCACAGGTAATTTTGGTGCAAACATTGTTGCTTGCACTGTTTTACAAGTACTTCGTAGGCAAGTTACCAAGTGATACTTTCTTAAAATTGAAATTCCACAATTGATTTAACTGATTAGCTTTTATGTGAAATATAAAAAGAAAATGAATATTTGTTTTTTGGGAGTTTGAACAGATGTTATTGCCAGACACTATAGTCCATTGAGGCCCATATTAGAAAATTAGACTTGGCCGTAGTGACATTCTAGCCTTGTGAGAGCCTTGACTGAGTCCCTTTTTTAACTTCTGCTTTTGATTATGTGTTTTCTTACTGGGTATTGACTAGTACCCATGTTATTGATTTGTATATATACACACACACATTAGGATTTTGTCCCCTGGTTTATATGTTTGTCTATTTACGCTTCGATAAAAAGGCTTGGTGATTTTCAACAAAATGAACAAGTATTTGACAAATTAATGACTAACCCAAGAGAACAGAGATGTATACAAGTATTAACACTGTCCAAAGCTAGAAGCACCAGAAAGGAAAGCTGACATAACATCAGTTCACAGAAACAGCAGTTATTCTAATCTATCTATTTTAGACTAAAACTCGCTCCCAACTTGTGAGCTATCAAGCTAAAATAGGGAAAAACGAAGAAGGAAGAATCTGGAAAATTTCTGTATATTCAGCTCAAAGAGTAGTGTACAGTAGTAGCTCATTTATAGTGATGAGCACTTCAGAAAAATAACATAAATGTAACAAACTGTTAGAGCTAAACAGAGGTGCTAAACAGAAGTAACAGATTTAACAGAACACTTGATTAACCAGGTCAATAATGTTGACCTTCTAACTAATCAGCTTAACACTTTACTAACATCCTCCCTTAAACTAAACCTCCTTGACTCAACTCTTTTACTAACACTTAACACTTCACTAGCATCCTTTCTTAAACTAAATCACTTTGACTCAATTCTTTTACTAACATCCTCCCTTAAATGGAGCTAGGTTAGGTTTTGACATCATTTGCACTTGCAACTTCATCTCTCTGTAATGCACTTGCTGTAGTCTTCAACCAGATGCAACAAAAACTTAAAATTGCATCATATCTCTCTGTAATGTACTTTATAATGCACTTTGCAGCTTCATCGTGTAGTCTTAAACCATATATACCAAGTAAACCTTTATCCTGCAGACTAATCACTGGATACCAACCAACTGAATGTCCCTTTTTAAGACTGATTAACTGGTCTTCCAACATAACTGATCAACCAGCATTTGACCATATAATGAGAGCTGATCAATACTACCACTCAACCTCAATCAAGGACAAAGAATTGATCAACTTCACCAGCAGCATTAAACCACACAATTCACATTAACAGGAAACTGCAACACTACCAGCAACATTAAACCACACAATTCACATTAACAAGAAACTGCAACACTACCAGTAGCATTTAACCACACAATTCACATTAACAAGAAACTGATCAACAACCATCATTATCTAACTCGCAAGAGGAACTTCAATGCAGAATTAATCTTCACTCAGATCCTGATCAGAGTCATTTGAGCAAACTGTCAAGCTTGTACAGAGGAAGTAACGTAGAAGAAGAGACTTCTTGTACTGGAGAAGGAACAACTGTAAGTTTGGACCTGAGAACTTCAAACCTCGAAGTGGACAGAGACTTGGTAAAGATATCTGCTGTTTGGTGTTCTATAGGAACATAGTGGACTTTTAAATTGTTGATTGCAACTTGTTCCCGAATGTAGTGTGCATCCAACTTAATATGCTTCGTTCGAGCATGGAAGACTGGATTAGATGCAAGGGAACCAGCACTTTGATTATCGCACCAAATAACAAGGATTTCAGGAAGATGTAAACCAATTTCAGTGAATAAACTACGAAACCAGGCTATTTCTGTGGCACCCTGAGTAAGAGCTCTATACTCGGCTTCAGTGGAAGATAAGGCCACTACCTTTTGTTTTCTAGAACTCCACTGTAGCAAGTTGGAACCAAGAAATAAACAGGAGCCACTAGTTGAGCGTCTATCTTGAATGCTTCCTGCCCAGTCAGCATCAATGAAGCATTCAAGGTGAAACCTGTGAATTTTAGTGAAGTTAACTCCAAAGTTTGAGGTGCCTTTAAGATATCGAAAGAGGCTTTTACATGCTTGCCAATGAAGTTGAGTGGGAGCTTTGAGGAATTGGCTTAATTGACAGAGGATGTAATATCAGGCCTTGACAGGGTTAGATATTGCAGGGACCTATTGTACTTCGGTAGAGAGATGGTTTGTCAAACAACTCACTATCCTCAAAGGTCAACTTGTTCCCTAAAACTACTAGAGTGGAGCATGGTTTTGAGTCTATCATTCCAGTTTTAACTAGCAAGTCTCTTGCATATTTGTCTGGACTCATATGAATTTTTGAAGCTTTCTTTTATACCTCAAAACCCAAAAAATACTTAAGAGAACCCAGGGTTTTTTAGGCAAATTCAATATTCAACTTATCCACAACATCTTGAACTAATTTATCTTCACTGCTTGTCAAGAGTATATTGTCAACATATACTACTACATAAATAACCTGATTGTTGTGTCTGTAAATAAACAGACTGGGATCAGCTACTTAGCAAGTAAATCCCCATTTCAGAAAAGCATTTTTGAGCTTCTCAAACCAGGCTCGAGGAGCCTGCTTGAGTCCATAAAGTGCCTTTACTAATTTGCACACATGAAGAGGATTTTTGACATCAACAAAACCTTGTAGTTGAGTCATGAAAACTGTCTCACTAAGCTCTCCATTTAAGAAATCGTTATTGACATCAACTTGTTAGATATCCTAACTATATGTGATAGCCAAGCTGAGAACAACTCGAATGGTAGAGGACTTGATAATAAGACTAAATGTTTCAAGACAATCCACACCGGGGGTTAAGTCTTGCTTTGAATCATTGAATGGAGCCATCAGAGTTATGTTTCACTCTAAAAACCCATTTACATACAACCATGTTCATATGAGGTTCAGTTGGAACAAGTTCCCAAGTGTGATTAGACATTAATGCATTAAACTTATTGTCCATGGCAGCTTTCCAGGATGGATGAGACAGAGCTTCAGCTACACTCTTTGGCTCACTTGTATCTAGATGAGAGGTAGAGGAGACTAACTCGGAGATGGGGAGTTTGGCTTTTGATCTAAGTAATCATAGGGTGAATGTTTAAGGAATGTGAACTATTGGACAAAACATGTGGAATATGAACAAGATTAGCAAGGTTGTCAACGTTGGTGTGAGTGGACTGGTGATCATCAAAGGGTAGGTCCACAACAAGGTGAATAGATTCAGGAGAACTAGAGGAGCAATCTGCTTGTAAAGAGGAGATATTGGGAACTAAAGGTGACCGAGATGATGGCACTGCTGATGATGTATTTGGAGAGTGTGAGAGGCTGGACTAAAAGATCAGTTGCTAGTGTGTTAGGGGAATGTGGAGAAGACTCCACTAAAGGTTCAGCTGCTAATCTGCTAGGGGAATGTGAGGAAGACTCAACTAAAGGTTTAGCTGCTAGTGTGTTTGGAAAATGTGTAGGATTGAAGGATCTGCAGATGGAGATAAGGGACTAGAATATAAGGGGAATTGTGATAATTGAGCTGCAGTTGACCTTTGCTGACCAATTGTGGATAGAACTGGTGAAGAAGAAGGGGACATAGGTACAGAAGATGATAATGTGGATTTGTCAGGAGAAGGAGCATAGTTATGAGGCAAAGAAGAGATGACTGTTGTAGTCATCTAAGAACTGAATGTAATATTGAAAACCTTCAGGGGATGGTCCCCCAAGGTCTGAGTGAATCGGTTCTAAGGGTTGAGAGGCTCTTGAACTAGTTCTAGGAAAAACAGAGTAGTGAAGCTTACCAAACTGACATGCTGTGCAGAAATCAAAGGTGTTTGAAATAGTGTTATTTAGTTTTAAGATATGCAAAATTTTAGAAAGAACATTTGCATTGGCATGACCTAAACATTTATGCCATAACATCTCACTGGTTTTGGTAGCAGAAAGAGACTGCAATATGTTTTTATTACTGTCAATAGCAGCATTTACACAAGAAGATAGATCTGCAGAGGAGTTTAAAAACTCATTATGAAATAGAGTTTCAAGCTCACAGGCTTTATTATTACAATCTATTGAAAGTGAAGAAGTTAAAGGCTGGAGAAACTGATTCTGATTAAAAGTTCTAGTTGAGGAGTTGAAGGCTGTGATTGTAGGTTTTGAAAAATCAGCAGGCAAGTTGGCATTTGGAGTGGCTGGAGTTTGAAGTTGATAAAGACCATCCTTAAGCCTTCCTTGAAGAACAACTTTGGATTGTTTGTCCTTAACAGCACAATGGTTAGTAAAGAATTCAACTATAACACTATTATCTTTAGTAAGCCTAGATATACTCAACAGATTTTTGGTAATATTAGGGACACACAAGACACGCTTAAGATAAAGAGACCTAGATTGACATGGTAAATAAGCAAAACCAGTATGAGATATAGGTAGAAGCTCACCATTTCCAACCTAAAGCTACTCATTTCCAGTGTAATTAGAGTTGATGGTGAGCTGAGAGAGGTCAACTGTTACATGATCCGTACCACCTAAATCCATGTACCAGGAGGCATCTTGGACAGTAGATGGTGTAGCAACATAATTGGTAGCAGAGTTGGTGTAATGTGGTGATTGAGTTTGGGACAAAAACACTTGATTGTGAGTACTAAGTGTAGATGTGGGAGAGTCA